TCCAAGGATATGGATTCCAGTTAAGATGCAGTTACTTTGTCGGTGTGAGGTTCACATGTGAGAACTGACCTTATGAGGTAGAAATTGAGTTCAATAGGTCTGATGGCTATACAAATAGGGGGGAAAAAGACTTTGCACGGTGTCGTTTATTCCAAAGAGTTTTGCTGTGATTTTACTGCATCATTAGCTACAAGGATTTACCTTATGCTTGTGCAGGCATTGGGCATGAAACTGTTGAGGACAATAGATAATCCCCAGTACAAGGTTGGTCACCCCTGCTCTACATAAGCATGTGGTATCATTTGTGAAGGCCACATTGGCCCGCGTGTTGGTTCCTTAGGTGTTTAAGATTATTCCACTCTCATAGTGGTGCATCATATTGACAGTACACCTTGGCCATGATGGGTTATGCTGATGAGTATGAGACAACTGTGGTGGAGCTCACCTATAATTATGGGGTTACTGAGTATACCAAGGGCAATGCATACGCACAAGTTAGTCCCGCTTATTTTTGCTTGCTGTGCATACAATGTAATTTAGATCTCTTGCTTTCACTCGCTAAAGAATGTGTTTGCTCTCAATTCTAGCTTGCCATCAGCACTGATGATGTCTACAAGAGTGGTGAGGTAATTAAGCTGGTTACTGAAGAGCTTGGTGGGAAAATAACTAGACAGCCAGGACCAATTCCTGGGATCAACTCCAAAATTGGCTTTTTCCTTGATCCAGATGGTTGGAAAACTGTGAGTTTCTGCTTTACGAATTTCAAACCTCTCTTTATTCATGGGAATAAGCAGGAATGCAGTATTTTATCTCTGCTTAAGATGCAGATAAAATTAATGGCCATTGTATTGTGGAGTGATGTGTGTGGAACTGGCAATGCATGTTGCGTCTTGAGTTCACTAGATAACTGCTTTCTTGCAACTTTGTGCTGGAAGACGGGGGCCCTGTCTAGTGCAAATGATCATTGGTGTGCACAAAAATGAAAGGGAAGAGTAAAGCACGCTATAGGGGGATACACCTGAAAACATCGCCTCTATACTCTGCGCCTGAGAAGGCTACCTTTTTGTCTTGAACAATAATGGATATCATTACCCAAAACCTATATCACATATGTTGCAAATAGACATAGTATGACAGCATCAGTTCTTTCAGCTAGTGCGCGATGTATTTGTATTCTAATTCCCTTTCATGGGACTTTCGTTGTGATCCTTTGAATTTTTGCTTGTAGGCCCTGGTTGACAATGAAGACTTCCTGAAGGAACTGCAGTAGAAAGCTTGTGATGGTGTGAGTTGCCCTATGTGGCGGGCAGATGCATAAACTTTTCTATCTGCTATAAATAAACTTAGTTTGTATTGGCCATCAATTACCAACTACCAGTGCGTGCTTTATGCTTGTGTTTGGCCATGAGGTATTGGACTTTTGTGTTCTCGACTTTGTGTCTTGGTGCTCATGTCTGATGCATATATGAGAAGTGAGTAGATTTCGTGCATTGTGATTGTAAGGTGTTCATGAGAGAGATTGATCATTTGAACATTTGAACTCTGGCCTTGTCCTGGCTGGAATCATTATCGTGAACGAGACTATCTCCCGAAACATCCATCGATCACCCCTAAGTCGACAGGATCTAAACTTGCTGATGCTTGCTCGGCCATCTACCTTTTTTTTTTTATCGAAAAAGGACTCTTGTCGTCTCATTCATTTCCTTATAAATCAAGTCTTGAGATGTTTCCCCTCTGCAAACTTTGTTTGTGCAGCATATGGGCTTTTATATTTGACTGTCCAAGCCCATAGGCTACCTCAAAGACATACTTGACCTGCGTTCACTACTTAATGTTCTTCTTCCTCCTGGTAAATGTGTGAGCCGCTCCACCGCAAGGAACTCTCACGTGAATGACCCGTGCATTCACTAAATATAGTGGTGTGAGAGCTGTGGCACTTCAAGAATACTGCACTCTGCTGAAGAGGCGTACTTCGTTCGATTTTGGCATGCTTAACTTGTTTCATTCGTGCAGCATTCAAGGATTTGGTTCCGATCTTCAGTATTCTTTGGAAATTATTTCATATCAGAGATGGTGGTTGATCATACAAACACCTTTCCGACAACTCAATATCAGGATGTTCCCCAGTCAAATTTAATCACCATGTCAAGCGATTATAGTTTTGATATTCTCTGTATGGTCTGATATTGTTATGCAAAAACGGCGGCTGCCCAGACAAACCCAAACAATCCAAGCGACGGTACGAAATGTAGAAATAAATTGGAGACTAACTACTTCACGGGAAGAGATAGACGAGATGTTCCGCTAGAATTGAGATAGAGAGGTCATAATCCTTTAAATTACACCATAACGAGCGCTTACCAATCTTAGATAACACCCAGCACCTCAATAATTGATCATGAGAAACGAGTTTTCTCATGTTCTCATCTTCTTAGACGATGGTTCTTCAAATCTCTCTTAGGTTCTTACAAGTTGTATACAAGATAAATTTCAAAATATGTTTTAAAACACTTATGGATCGAGTCTGTGACTTGGGGCGGTTGTCCGGCCAGAGTAGGCACGGACACCCAGCCACAATTTTGGAAAGCGCTTTTGGTTATGGATAATAGCCTGATGTCCAGTCAATGCCGGACACCTGGTCCATCGGCGGCCACACCTTGGTCAGGTACCCGCCTAGTTGCTTGGTTTGGCTAGGTGTTAGGCGGGCCATCTTCTAGCATTCGACGGTCGTCCGTTTCTGTTTCCGTCTCCGAGCCGTGGCAAATACTCTTAACATTCCGATAAATCACAATACTCGCGCCAATCCCAAATAGGGATTTCAGGGCATAATCAATAGATATGTTCATTTCTTTTTATTGTTGGAGCGAGAATATGTTATCCAAATGCGACACTAGTAAATTCATCCTTCCCCCGAGACAAAAAAACGGAAAAAAGAAAAAGAAAACCAAAACAGTGAGGACACTATAACGAAAGGAAGGGCGAACAAGATTTGGCTGGGGGACTAGGATGGGCCGCCCCTTCACCATCGACAGCGACGGGCCACAAACACCCGATGCGCTTTCTATCCTGTACCCATCTCCGCCTCCGACGCATTGTCATAGCAACACGACTTCAAACCCGAAAGAGCTTCGAGCACCACCAACGAAACAAAGCCAAACAAGAATCATCTTTTGGAAAACCATCAACCGGTCCTACGAAAAACAAGGGGGATTCCAACGAGGGCACAAGAAGAAGAAGAAGAAGAAGAAGAAGAACGAGGGCATAAAGAGGAGAAGACGGGGGAGTGGGGATCTCTAGTTCTCGAACTCTGTCGCCGTCCGGTCCCTGAAACCCACGACGCCACGGTCAAAATTCCCCCTTTGGAGGGCCGCGCGATTCGAAGCGACAAAAAGTGCAAAACCACCCACCCCCCAAACTATACAATTGATAAAAAAAGAAAAAGAAAAGGGCAACAAGGAAGGCCAGGCTCGTTTCGGCATGATGGAACGTGCCCAAGGCAAAAGCTCTTTTGACCATTCGGCTGGCTGCTGTGGGTGGCGGTGTTGGTGGTGGGCTTTTTTCCCCGCCTTTGGAAAATCTTCGTGCCCCCTCCTCGTTCAGCAAAAGTAAAGTCGGCACAGGATCGGGACACAGACACAGAGACGTGACTAAAGTATTCGTCGAAGAAAAAGGAAAGGGGAAGGAAAAAAAAAAACAACACGAGAACGAAAGAAGCAGCCGAAAATCCTCGATTGTTTAGCTGTTAATTGCGGTTGCGTTGAAGAGGGACGAAAGAGAGAGAGAGAGAGAGAGAGAAAATGCAACGTTTGGATTCGGTCCGGGTGAGCGCGGACAGGTTCCCCTGTCGTTCGTTCCCTTCCATTGTCCGTGGTCACGATAAAGGAACGCCGACCACCCCCCCAATTTTTTTGCATTTTTCAAACCTAATCCCGGTTCGAATCCCCGGATAGCTTGCCCCCCGGGAAAAAAAAAATAAAAATCCCCCCGGCCCCCGGATCACCCACGGTCCGTCGGTATCGCCATCCACGCACGCGCTTATTTTTCGCGTCGGGTTGGCCATTCTCCACCTCGGACCTGTCGGGCAGGGGCCGTTTGCCGCGTGCGTCAACATGTACGGATTTTTAATGGGACATTCGGCATAACGGAAGAGGTAAATTCGAGCGAGGAGTGCCCGATTCGAAATTTATTTGGAAAGAAAATTAGATTTCGGGATCAATGTGTCGTAAAGTATCGATTTGAAATATTGATGGCAGTTAATTTCATTTTCAAAATGGACAACATGACCCTTTAATTTAGCGTGTAGTAAATTACTAATAGGGTTAATACTACAAAAAATCTTCAAACTGGTATATCTACGATAAATTTATCCCAAACTAATATCAAACCGGTTCACCCGTGATAAATTTACCCTCCGTTAGTTTTTGTCGAATTTTACAGTCAAATTGTTAAGTTAGATGACACGTGGCAGTTGACGGGCGTACCGGTTTGAGGTTTTATCCTCCGTTTGTCACGGGTACATCAGCTTGTGATTTTTCGTGGTATTAATCTAATTTAACGGAAATTAACGGAGTGTAAATTTATCACAAAATATATCGGTTAGAGATTTTTTTGAATATCAAAAAGTAATTCGGGGTAAATTTATAATAAATGTACCGGTTTGAAATTTTTAATTTGAGATAAATTCGTTATGAATATATTAATTTGAAATTTTTGGTGGTACGAACTATAGTTAACAAGGCAAAACGAGGTTGCTAAGTTTTTGGCTGTAGGCTTCTAGCGTTTTCCCATGTGTTAAAGAAGAAGCAGACAAAAGAAGCCAAGGTAAAAAGCGAACTGTCTTCTCCACTCACACACACACACACACACACACACAGCAACTACTCTCTCCGTCTCTAAAGCCGTGCCAGATTGGCGTCTCCGTCTCCCCCTGTTTCCATAAACGGGCCGCCCCCGAAAAGACGAAACTGCCCCCCCTCCCCAATAACATTCCCCCCCCTCCCCCTCTCTCAGATCGCCACTTCCATTCACCACCACCACCACCTCCTCCTCCTCCTCCTCCGTCGTCTTCAGATGTCGAAGCCGTCGTCGTCGTCGTCGTCCGCCTCCGCCACGACGCCTCCGGCGGCGGCGGCGTCGTCGGCGTCCATCAAGCCCGGGGACTACGCGCACAGCCCATTCCACTACGCGGTCGCCCTCGGGGACCACAAGACCCTCTCCCGCCTCCTCTCCACCCTCCCCCGCCTCTCCGACCCGGGGCTCGTCCACTCCGAGCCCGAGTCCCTCGCCCAGGAGTCCCTCGCCGACCGCATCTCCTCCGCCGTCGACCGCCGCGACGTCCCCCTCCGCGAGACCCCGCTCCACCTCGCCGTCCGCCTCTCCGACGCCGCCGCCGCCCGCTCCCTCGCCAACGCCGGCGCCGACGCGTCGCTCCAGAACGCCGCGGGGTGGAACCCGCTCCAGGAGGCGCTGTGCCGGCGGAACGCCGAGATCGCGTCCGTCCTGCTCGAGCACCACCACCGCTCCGCCTGGTGCAAGTGGCGCCGCCGGCTCCCGCGGGTGATCGCCGTGCTCCGCCGCATGCGCGACTTCTACATGGAGATCTCGTTCCATTTCGAGAGCTCCGTCATCCCGTTCGTCGGGAAGATCGCCCCCTCCGACACGTACCGGATCTGGAAGCGCGACGGGAACCTCCGGGCCGACACCTCCCTCGCCGGCTTCGACGGCCTGAAGATCCAGCGCGCCGATCAGAGCTTCCTTTTCCTCGGGGAAGGGGACCAGAGCCACGGCGTCCCCGAGGGCTCGCTCCTGGTCCTCAACCACGACAACCGGAAGATCTTCAACGCGTTCGAGAATGCCGGAGCTCCCATGAGCGACTCGGACATCGCCGGGTTCTGTTCCCAGACGAGCGTGTACCGTCCGGGCATGGACGTCACCAAAGCTGAGCTCGTCAGCAGAACTAACTGGAGAAGACAAGACAAGACCGAGTCCGTCGGCGAATGGAAGGCCAGGGTTTACGAAGTCCACAACGTAGTGTTCAGCTTCCGATCACGCAAGGTCACCTCGTCGGAGAACGACGTCGCCGGCAGCGAGCAGGTTGTTGGAGCGTCTTTCATGGCTTTGACTTTTGAATTCAAACTTTATCGTCTCCTCGTAAATTGTGTTTTGCATTTTCACTCGACACTTAAATATGCGCCTTTGACGCAGGTATTGCCGCTTGAGCTCGACGAGGACGACGATGGCTTCCTAGTCGCCGAGAATCCCCAGTTCATGTTCTCGAACAGTAGCAATAACAGTAGCGACAGACGGAGGCACAGTAGTTTCGTGAGGGAGGAGAGGGAATGGGTGCACGTGGGGCGGAAGAGCGTGGACGTGGTGCCCTTCTCCGCGGCGGCGGCGGCCCCGCCGCACAGGAGGGCCGCGATCGCGGTGGCGCCGACCCCGCAGACCAAGGAGAAGGAGTACGTGAAGAGCCTGCGGCCCTCGGTCTGGCTGACCGAGCAGTTCCCGCTGAAGACGGAGGAGCTGCTGCCGTTGCTCGACATATTGGCCAACAAAGTGAAGGCCGTCCGGAGGATGCGGGAGCTGCTCACGACGAAGTTCCCGACGGGCACTTTTCCGGTGAAGGTAAGGAATGTTTCTTTTCCGGCACTTTTCGGGCATCGATGACGAAATTCAAATCATTTGTTGAGCCCCCAAATCAGCTAAAGTCCTGTTTTTTAATCTCTCCGTGAATAAAGAAAGCTACAACTATGAAGTTTACCCATATTGAAAATTTGGGTTTTGATTCGTGGGTCTTTTCTTTTGAAAGCTTTGAGAAGATACTAGGAAGAATAGATTGCCTATACTATAACATTATCCTACAGATTCCTTGCCGAGTTAGGAAGATGCAATCGATTAAAGTATTTGCGGATCATGCTCTTTCGTATCGCGTCAATATCTCTTTGTCCTTTTCTGAATTGATCTGTGGGGTCTACCCGGGGTACGTCGTCTGGGGGTCGTGGTCTAAGGATTTCTGCTTTTCTGTTTGTTCTTGCTGTTCCGAACTTTGGCTTTGTCCTGCCCCTTTTCTTTGAGTATATGTTAACTCTGCAATGGAATTACTTGAGTGGCGTGACAAAGACTGACTTTTTGGAAGCTTTTGTGGGGTCCTCATCGGTCGGGTAACGTGAGGTGGGAGTTTTACCCTATTGGCACTCCTACGCCGGGACCGATGGCTCAAACTTGGGTGAGAATCTCAGGGCCCATGCTCATGCTGCTGCTGCTGTCCTTGTTCTCTGTATTCCGCTGCGAAAGTCTTTCTTCTGTCCTAATGGGAATAAACGCGTTTCGACTATATATTACCGTGAACTGCTGAGCTTAAATTAACATAAGACATGGTCCATTGAACTTTGGACCCAACTTAAGGTTGGCTCCCGACCTGGTTTGGAACTAGAACAGGGTTTGAAAGATTCATGTTTCCACTCCTTGGTGAAAACAACTGGTCAATGTAGGGTACAGCAGTAGTGTTCAATGTAGGCCCACTAAAACTGACTAGTGATCTGATACAATGTATGTGCCAGTATTGTTATTTCTAATTTATATGGTGTCTTGCTGTAATTTTTGGCTTCAAATTTAAACTAAAACTGGCTGACATAGTCCACGACTTTTTAAGAGACAACCAAGGAAGCTTTCTCAGTCTAGACTCCACTTCTAGTTGGAGCCCCACACTCTGGAGTAGACATTATTAGTCATGGGAGCTGCCCTGTTAGGCATGCCGCTATGTTGGGCCTCCTATCGATTGCTTCCTCATCAGCTTTGTGTGCAGTGCAATGTTTCGGTGCATAATTGTAACGCTAGTGGTCCTCTGCTTGATGGCGCAGGTAGCAATTCCGGTGGTCCCTACGGTGAGGGTGGTGATTACATTCACAAAGTTCGTCGAGCTCCAACCGACCGAACGGTTCTACACGCCGCTCTCGAGCCCTAGGCACCTCCTTAATGGCGGATCAAGAAGCGGGCCCGAGGAGGACCAGAAATCGGACGGCCCCTTCTGGTCCTGGCCATCGTCGTCGTCGTCGTCGTCATCAACGTCGTGGCTCCGGCGGAGTAGCAGCCGGTCGGTGGGATCGAGCAAGGAGCAGTCCCGGTGTCCTGCTCAGCAGCCCGATCCTTTTGTAATACCTAGCGGATATACGTGGAGTAGCATCGATGATAAATCGCATAAGATGAAGAAATCCAAGTCAGTCAGAAAATCTAAGTCGTAGGTCTAATGGATTTATTTATTTTTTCTCTATTTTTTTTTGGTTTTAGCTTAAAAGGAAAAGGAAACAAGATGGGCAGGCAAGAAAAACGAAGAAAGTTGAGCCTTTGTACTCTTTAAAGCTGGAAAGGAGGAAAAAGAAAAGTAAGAAACAGAGCCAAAATCATAAATGCAATGGTGGTTCAAACTTGCCCTTCTCTGGCTTTCAGATAACCCTGTAGACGCGCGGACTTAAAACTTTTCACGGGGCACCGGTTGCACTCCACCGTCGCCGCGGTTGGCGCTTCCTCTCTCTCTTTCCCCTCTTAGACTTCTAATTTCTTAGTAAGATGAGGGGAGAATCGGCTTTTAATGTCATTGCTATCTTCGACGGAGAAAGCATTCGCGACAAATTGTGCGTGACTGTATCTTCAGCGAAGCTAAAAGCATAGATACCGTCCGTGTGCCTCTCAACATCAGAAAAAAAGGTTGGTGGTAGAGTGTTAACTCAATAGAAGCCTAGCCTTGAAAGCTTGATGCAAAAGATGCTGGGCATATCCGATGACTACTTATGAAAATGGACAGACACGGACGAGATGAACCATTTCAACCTTCTCCTCGAAGACGGTCGAACAAAATTGTGGCAGGAGGCACGAAAGCTGCATAATGAGGACTAGGAGGAGCATGTGAGAAGCCCCACTAATGTATGTCTGAAAGTTTAGCTAAGTCACTACTCAAAACTTGTTGGTGAAGCATTTCGAGCATTCCTAAATATTTTTTTCCATTAGTCGATTGTAGGACATGAGTTATGGCTTGATCTTTGGACGTGAGCAGGTATACCTTCCTTAGGAGGAACCCGAACAAATTGAAAGTGTTTTCCGCCATGTTCTCACGAGGAACTTTCTCGTCCTCTTATTTGTTTATCTGTTATCTTGTTAGAAAGTTGAATGCTTCGATGTCTGCCAACTCCTCCTCTTCAAGAACTTAGCATGCAAATGGCACGAACCGGTCGAGAGCCGGAACTGGAAAGTGATCCACCCTTCTTTGTTCGGTCGATAACAAGTCATTCATGAGAGCAGGGAAGTTGTAAGAAAATACTTTCTTGCGACCTGATCTCAAGAGGTTGCATCGTAGCTTAGATGATTCATACAAGAAATTGGAAATTCATAAAATGGTAACTTTATCTCAAGAGGCTATGTTTAATATGGATTCATTTCGAATTTCTTTATGATCCAATTAGTAAAGTATCGAGATTTTGCGGAACCCTTGCCAACTCTCACTAGAAGGTGCATTCACATGTGCGTTGTGCATTTTGCTTGGTTCTATCTATAGCGTAATTGTAAAATGACCATATGATGTGTTTGTTTCTCATCGCAGTTCCGAGCACAAAAAGTTCCAATTTGCCAATAAGTTATTGCTTCTCACATGAAATTTCTGCCTTTGCAAACTACTTGAGAAAATGTTAAGCTTTCGCGTCCTCGTTCACTTGAATTATGACCTTTCCCGCGTTCGAGCTTGTGAACATTGATTGAATGCTCTCTAAGAAGCTTTCCGTGCCATGGTAGATCTCATACTTCGAAACAATCTTTCTCTGCTTGATGTATCCCGTCATTTCCTCCACAAACTCTCCGAACCGGTTCCAATCCAGCAGGAACCCCTCCATCCTCGCCTCCTTCCCTACCAAATTCAAGAGGTTGCGCACCCCGAATCTCTCCGTCCAAACCTAATTGCATCAATGAAAAACAACGACAATGACACGATGTTTCCGCTTCTTGGGTAATAACTATAACTGGCTTCTTAGAGACGGAAAGTAGCAATTTCACTGGCACGAGACCTTTCGATGATGTTTTTCTCTTTACCTGGTTGTATTGGGAGATCATTCCGCAGAGAGGGATGCGTGCATGGGTGTTCAGGTGGTTAAGGACGGCCTCGAGCATTCTACCTCCAACATTGTCGAGGTAGATGTCGATCCCATCAGGGAAGTACCTACACAATTAGTATTAGTAGGTTAACAACAGAAGCACAACTAGCTTATATCAATCACCTGTTGTCTCAATTAGATTAGAATCGCTGTGTTCAATCAAACATATGTGACATGGTTGTTATTTATATTGGACAAAAAGTGCCAGCTTACTTGCTTAAGGCGGCATCATAATCAGTCTCAGCATTGTAGTTGAATGCCTCGTCGTAACCTATCTCCTCTTTCAGGAACTTCACCTGCACATGATATCATATACATATCTATCCAAGAGCTGAAGAATGAAATTAGAGCAACCTCTAATGTACATGCAATTTTAGGCGTGAATGAAATTAGTGCAACCTCTATCGTTTCACTTACCTTTGCATCGGAGCCGACACTGCCCACGACTCTGCAGCCTTTCAACTTGGCTAACTGCCCAGCCACAAGGCCGACTCCTCCGGCTGCGGCGGAGATGAACACGTTCTCTCCTGGCTTCGGGTCTCCGATCACCGTTATTCCTATCCATGCTGCAAATCCTGGGATTCCTACACTTATTCCAGACAAGGTCATGCTTAGACATACACGAACTTAAGAACAAGCAATGCCGTGTCACTCCTACTCAAAGGAAAGAAAACCTTTGATTGAGATTGAATAAATCCAAAGATATAGGGAAAAAAAAGTCCATGTACAGGCAATATGCATTCAGATGTTCGTTTTCTTTCTACTCTTTAGTCAATTCGAGACAAATATGGCATGACATATTCTTATTATCTCAAACCTAATATACTAGAATGCAAAATGCAGTTTCAATTCTTACCAAGAGCGCTCAGATAGTCCAGAGCAGAGACTCCAGAATCGGGTGCAATTTCAATCTTCCTAAGAGCATGAGCAGGCACAGTGGAGTACTCCGACACTGGTGCAATCGTGTTCAGCACCATCTCCCCAACACTGAAGCTTGAATCCTTCGTCGCCAACACCTCCCCTATTCCAAATGTTGTCACAGGCTACACAAGAAACAAAGGGAGATCCTAAAAAGTCAAACCCTTAAAAGAATCGACGCAAAGAAGAGAAAAATCCGAGCCTAAACTGTGCGAAAACTATTCTGCATCCCCCTAAAGGATTCGGTATATGATTGTATATCGCATCTCATGCCCTAGATTTCGACAGATGCACCAAATCGCCCTCAACTTTTTCTTCGCAGCGACTATATATTTATGGAGAGAGAGAGAATCTGTATGACCTTATGGAGCTCGAATGGAGGGAAATAGAGACCATCTCTTTGGCTGCCCAACCGGGCCCGGAGGTAAGGGTCGACGGAGAGCCAGTGAAGGCGGAGGAGGACGTGGCCATCTGGGACGTCGCCTCCGGAGACTCCCATGCTCGAGGTGCGGAGCTTCAAATGCCTGGATGTTGGCACGCCGCCATGGACGTACTCCTCCAATGTCCACTCCTTCCTCTCGATCTCCATCTCTCTCTCTCTCTCTCTCTCTCTCTCTCTCTCTCTCTCTCTCTCTCTCTCTCTCTCTCTCTCTCTCTCTCTCTCTCTCTCGTTTCCAATTTATCATATGTTGTCCGCCATTTTTGTGGAAAGCTTGGATTTCATGAGACAAATATGGCATGACGTATATAATATGCTCTGGAGGTGAATAACAGTGGATTTCAAATCTTACTCTGCTAATAACGTAAGCATGGATTCGTGTAGATTTCACCAACGTGGACGACTTGTATTGGACGACCTCTGGAAATGCGGGCTTAACTTGGCAACCCATGAGCTTAGTCTAGTCTAGAAACTATTTGACCTAAATATATATAAGTATAAAATTACAAAATATGATCTCTTTCAAAAAGGTAATTCCCAAAATAAATTCCTCACGAATTCATTTATCAAAATAGGCTTCTTAGTGTCTCATCAATCTTGGAGATTCCCTAATCACCACCCTTGTAATTCTTGGGGTGAGCATGGTTCGGATTGAGCCAATCCGGTACCTAATCCAAGAACCAACCCATATACTGTTGGTCTCCAATTTTTCGGACTGGGGATTGACCCTATTGAGCCTGGGACTACGGACTGGACGGACCTTATGGGTCCAATCCGATTCCAGAGTCAACTTGGGACCAATTGATTTTTTTTAATTCTTTGAATTCCTTGAAAGGACAAATGTACTTGAAATTTTTGAGCTGTTAAAATTAGAATAATATTGTGCTCAAACTTTACTTTATGATGAATAATATGTGGTATTCAAACTTTACTTTATGATGAATAATATGTGGTATTCTCATTCTTGAATGAGTCTTTAACTCGCTAGAGTCGAGCTACCGAGATTGCCAAATTCATTTGTATGAGTTGAATTAAGAATCCATAATGCCACACGATTATATCCAAAAATTTATCATCTTTGTTTTGAGCATGAGAAGGGAATTTATGATACTAGGATGGACGAACCCTATGGGTCCAATCCGATTCCACGTTAACTTGGGACCAATCGATTTTTTTATTCTTTGGATTCCTTGAAAGGACAAATGTACTTGAAATTTTTGAGCTGTTAAAATTAGAATAATATTGTGCTCAAACTTTACTTTATGATGAATAATATGTGGTATTCAAACTTTACTTTATGATGAATAATATGTGGTATTCTCATTCTTGAATGAGTCTTTAACTCTGCTAGAGTCAGAGCTATTGAGATTGCCAAATTCATTTGTGTGAGTTGAATTAAGAATCCATAATGCCACACGATTATATCCAAAAATTTATCATCTTTGTTTTGAGCATGAGAAGGGAAATTATGATATTACTTATTCTGATAGGGACCCTAGTTACAAGCCCCATTTTGTTATTGTTTTTTCAAATGTTAAAATATTTGTTCTTAATAGTATTCATGTTGAAGCATAAAATATTAACAAAAAAAATTGTTACTGTGATTGTCGATGAAGATGCAAAATGAATGTGGCCATTCAAGTTAAGATTCTCGGCCTCTATTTCTCTTAGAACCGAGTGTGAAGGTACTTACCTTTGAGATGCGGATGTTGGCTGCGAACGGTGATTAATCTAAATTGCCGAGATCTTGGAGTCTTCGTTGTTGATGATCGGTACCGGTGAAGAATAAACGAGCAGGGAGAGAGAGAGAGAGAGAGAGAGAGAGAGAGAGAGAGAGAGAGAGAGAGAGAGAGAGAGAGAGAGAGAGAGAGAGAGAGAGCCGCTAAGAGAGAGAGAAGAATCTTAGATTGAACGAGGGACTGAGACTAAGATTGAGACTTGAAGAGGGGGAGGGGGGGGGGGGGGGGGTGAAAGAAGAGGAGGGGTTGGACACTTAAAGTTATATACATAAAATTTGGGAAAAAAAAATTATAGGGTTGGTTTAGCTTCTAAAGCCCCAGGACTAGGGACTAACCCAATCTGCCTAAGAACTAGACTAGGATCGGCCAGCTTGGACCAATCTAGGGTCAGTCCAGGGTCAACCCTGGACCGATGCTCACCCCTACGTAATTCTAGTCATCTTTATCTCTCTCTCTCTCCCCTTAAATTAACACTTTGCATAATATTATTTCCTTCCAAAATTCAATCCATAATAAAATAATTAAAACAAAATAAAATTTTGCACACTAATAAAGCCAAACTTTCAAATCAAAATTCAAAATATGGATAAAAGAATTTGAAATGCATTTTCTGATAAATAAAGTTATTGAATTTAAAGATTGTTATATCTTATCAATAACTAATCTTTTTATATAATAACTTCGTTATCATTAATTTGAAAGATGGTGACACATAATAAAAAAGAACATTTCGAAAAAGAATATTAGAATAACATAGTTTAGTTTGAGTGTATAGCCAATAGAAGTTCAAACAAAGATATCCGTCTTGTTTTGCCGTTCAATTTTTGCAATATGCATCAATTTGTTTATCTATTCTAAAATGAAACATGTGGGACATAAAGTGTAGGGTGTGCACTGAGTCTGTTTCAAATTGGGAGTCGGATTAAACCAGATTGGACCGGGCCTATTGATTCAAGCTCGATTCTAGGGAGAACCGGTTTGATTCTGGTACCACGAACCAAGAACCGGCCTACTACCAGTTAGGTTCCTGGCTGCCAATTCTACTCATGAGCTAGTTCAAACCGATTCTCACGTTGAATCGTTTCTAAACCTGTTTTGAAGCCTCAAACCATATCTTCAATACGAAGAAACAATAACATAACCACTTGATAAACATATGATAATTTCAATCAAAATTCGTATAATAAAATAACAAAATTTTAAGCCCATCCGGTGTTGTTCAATGTTTTCGTTTTACCATAACATTATGTGGTTATCTATAATTTTTTGGTTAACTTCAATCAAATCAAAGGATCGATTTTATTTACTTCTATAAGTTAAATGGTTAATACCACGAAAAACTCAAAACTGGTACACCTAAGACAATTTTACCCAAAACTAATTTTTTAATCATGAAAAACCCCAAACTGGTATACATGTGACAAATTTACCCCAAACTAATTTTTTGACCAACAAAAACCCCGAATTGGTACATTTGTGACAAATTTACCTTCCATTAGTTTCATTAAATTGAATTAATACCACAAAAAATCATAAACTAGTACGCCTGTGACAAATGGAGGGTAAAACATAAAATTGATACATTCGTCAATTGCCGCGTGTTATTTAACAAAGCAATTTGACTGTAAAATTTAACGGAAATAAACTGAGGGTAAATTTGTCATAGGTGTACCAGTTTGGAATTTTTGGAGGTCAAAAAATTAGTTTAGGGTAAAATTATCACAAGCGTACCAGTTTGGGGTTTTTTGCAATATTAACTCTAAGTTAAATACAAAATAGCTATCTTATTATGATTATTTTTAAGATCTCATTTATTTTTGTGCCCCTTTTTCATACCAGGAAGGTAAGTTATCTTTGCGTATACAACTTTATTTTTTTTTTCATTTTTCGAATTTTAGTCTAACAGTGATCTTTCAATAAGTGAATTTTATACGTACAAAGAAATGTTGCCTAATGAAATAATTTTACACTTGAAATCATAACAAAAATTTATTTGCTTACAAGAAATAGTAACATTCAAATTGGGGAAACTGTCCAAGCAGTCCTCAATCTATTGTACGGCCAATTCAGTCCTAAGCTTTCCAATTTTCCTAATTTAATCCTAAATCTTTGCGCAAATTTCCAATGTAGTCATTTCGATTAATTTTTGCCGGAAATCGCTGGTATGCCACATAGGACGGCCGGCGATTACTAGACTATCATGTTGGCTATTTCCAGCAAAAATTGACTAGAAGAACTACATTGGTAAAATAGAAAAGTTTAGGACTAAATTGGCAAAATGAAAAAGTTTATGACCGAAGTGGCATTTGCACAATAGGCTTATGACCGATTGGGTAATTTTCCCTATTAAAATTTAACGAACTTGTATGTTTAAGAGAAATTTCACTTAATGAAATAATTCTACACCACATATTGTAAAATGTCAATCGTTAGTATATAAGGCATGTTACTAGGTTGTTAAATTTCTACACGTACTTTACATTTTGAATTAAAATAATTTACTCCGTGTTACTTTGTAATGATGATGTATTTCAAACTTTTTATTCATATGTGGAATTTAGGGTTGAATGCGTGCAAATTCTGCCACCGGCTTTAGTTACTTATGCTAAATTGAATTTTGGGGGAAAAATAGGGATAATACCACGAAAAACCCAAAATTAGTACACTCATGAAAAATTTATCCAAAAACTAATTTTTTGACCACAAAAAACCCTAAACTGGTACATTTGTGACAATTTTACCCTCCGTTGATTTCCGTTTAATTTTACTGTCAAATTGCTGAGTTAAATAACACGTGGCAGCTAACGGGTGTACCAATTTAGGATTTTACCTCTCCGTTTGTCACAAGTGTACTAGTTTGTGATTTTCTGTGGTATTAATCTAATTTAATGGAGGGTAAATTTGTCACAAATGTATCAGTTTAAGGTTTTCGGTAGTTAAAAAATTAGTTTGGGGTAAATTTGTCACATATGTACCAATTTGGGGTAAATTTGTCACAGGTGTATTTGTTAGGTATTTTTTGAGGTATTAACCCAAGAAAATAAGATTGGGGCAAAGTGTTAGAAATTGTTTAAACACTTGTAGGGATACAGAGGAATATGTGATTAGGATAAAGACGATGATGACCAGGCAATCTCCAAATGTGACGTGGCAATACCAAGTCTATTTCGATAAATAGTTTAGGGAGAGATATTTTTAGAGAAATATTAAAAAAAATGTATATATTTTGGAATTAAAGCTTATCGTATCTAAGAATAAGGATCATGATCAGTTGGTTGTTTTTTCCTGGTAATGCATGATCATTGCTTCTTCTTTTTTGCCCTCTTTTGGCTTAGATTTCGCACTCACTGGAAGCCACAAAAGTTAGGTTCAGGCTGGAAATAAAAGAAGAGCACCTACCAAAGGACCAAATTATGCCCGGCAAACTATCTGCGCGGCGCGACTCAAAGATCTCGGCGAAGTATCTTGAGAAATGATGTCATTATATCTTTCTTGGAATGGAAAATGCCGAGTGTCGCGTGCGTCGCAGATGTTGCAAACTCGGGTCCCTATCGATCGGCATAGCAATGCTTGCCCCGCCACATATTGATCATTCTTTCGCTGCTGCTGATTATCATTAGTTGAACACACTGATTTAGACAAATTGCCTGAGATTGACGTATCTATCAGGTAAAATACATAAGTTCATGTTCAGAGGATGCAGCGGTGAGGTATGACATGCCGGTGTACCGCTATGCCGGATTCTGTTTGTGTCTGAAATCGGTCGAATCACACCCTGCAGGCGAAATCCACCGTGTGGTATGGATTTGCAGTGCGCGCGAGACTCTTACCATCCGGTTGAATAACTCCTATTGATCAAGGAATGACTCCAAACTAAACCAAGCACTGTAATCCGCGGTGCTTCTAAAATCCCTGGAGGAACTGTTTCTCGAGAGGTTGATAGCCGTTCAATCATAATTATCAGAAGTTCACAGCCATTGATTGTAAATTTTCCAAGTTTTTGCAAGTTACGACACTTTCAACAGGAAGTACGACAAAATACATGCGAGTAGGACGGATTACGGCCGAAGGATTGGTCCCCGAGAGACCATACAAGGCCATTTGTAATCCAAACAAGACACCAGAATTGAGCAGTACAGTTTGAGGGAACCAGATTTCACCTCTTCTAGGCATTTTCTTCAGGTTATGAAAGATGTCTCATCCCTCATTACCATTACTGTCATGTCACGTCGTTTGCGAGGTACGGTTAAGCTTTTGCGTCTTTGTTCACTTGAACTATGACTTTCCCCACGTTAGAGCTAGTGAATAGGGATCCGAAGCTTTCTAAGAAGCTCTCGATGCCATGGTAGATCTTGTGCTGGGAAACAATCTTTCGTTGTTTGACGTAGCCGATCATTTCCTCCATAAACTCTCCGAACCGGTTCATGTACGAAGCCAACATGAAGCCTTCCATCCTCACCTCCTTCCCCACCATGTTCAACAGATTTCGCACGCCTTCTCTCTCGGTCCAAACCTGATGCACACAAATAAGGAAATAATAATCAACTTGACGTTCGAAGCATTACTGGCTGCTATTGTGAATGCTGCAGTGCCATCATCCAAGAAACTTGGATCCGAGTTACTTCGTTTACCTTGTTGTATTGCGAGATCATGCCACAGAGAGGGATACGTGCGTGGGAATTCACATGGTTAAGGACGGCCTCGAGCATCCTGCCTCCGACATTGTCGAGGTAAATATCGATACCGTTAGGGAAGTACCTACAGCAATCTTGTATCAGTACATGAATCATAGTTCTTATTAATATATCAGAAGATGAACAGAACGGGAGGCAGGGAATACTCTTTCACGGTGTTGAACAGATGACTAGTCCTAGTAAAACAAATGGTCCCAAAAGAGAGCTGTAGAAAGCTCTAACTATTGTCCATATGGATCGCAGGATCAAAGATCCATTCGTTCATTAATGCACACAAACATCATGGCGGGCTGCTCTTCGAGAGTGCACAATCGAGATAAAGTATTACAGACTTACTTGCTCAAAGCGGCATCATAATCTGTCTCGACATTGTAGTTGAATGCTTCATCATATCCAATCTCCTCTTTCAAAAACTTGACCTGCACAAGATTGGAACAGGTCTTTCTTAATTCAACAACTCACAGTTATGAGAGACGTAACGATTTCTAGATAGTCAAAATTCGATGAGGATCACACAAAGAGGTGCAATAACATATCCGAGTATGCCCAATGAGGATTCTTTGTTCCTAGCCACTTAGTACTTGGTGCACTTTTTTTTACAGATGACAGATAATTTATGATAATTAAACTTCACGGGCATTTTTATTTCCGCTCTCTGAATTAGGGAATTGCAAAACTTTGTTTTATCCGCTCTTGATCTGAGTTTCTACAATCTAATTGAGGTTGAATTACCATCGCTAATCGCTAGTCACTAATCACGCGGGACCTTCTCGTCAAATCAAAATCGAAACAGCACCAGAAAGAGGCATATTCTTCTGCCCGGATGTGCAAATCGAATTTATCAAATGATGCAAACACAACTTGCGGATCTCTTCCTCTCCACGAGATCCAACAAACAACAAGCGGGTCATTTTCCGTTTCCTCAATATACAATCTCGAGCGGCGATGCACTCCATATTCGGTGTCGATGACCTAAGGAACACATTACATCACCAGGTTCACATGCTATTTTTAATGGACGAGAGAGTGAGGTTAACGTTATTCCCGGGCGACGACTCAGCGTCCGTCCAGCGACCGGCTTACATGAGCGAGAAAATATTCCTTTGCGGATGCAATCTCGATTCACAATGATGGTTCCATGTACACCATTATAGTAATGGAATAAAGTAATGGGGGTCGATTATCAAGTTCCATTGATTAATGCCCAAATGACAGAAGCTGCCGACGTCTCTAGCATAAATGGAGGTGCTTGAAAAATTCGTCGCCAATGGAAAAAGTTACAGTGGATTATGCTGAATTAAATGAAAGCGGAACTGGAGCAGGTCCTAGTCGTTAATGATGAAAAACATGAGTCAGAAATGGTTTGGCCGTGTCGAAAGGGTCAATCTACGTTTTCAATTCAACATTAAAAATTTCAATCTTGTGTTTATTGCATACATAGTACCTTAATCATATCGAAATAGTTTTATATTCATTAGGCATTTGCTCTTGAAATTGACAATTCAACTACTTTGGGACTTTCTTACCACTAATTTAGTTTCAGTTCAAACCAACTACTTGAAGCCCAGTCAACATAGAAAGAGCGATAATGTCGACAAATTGGACTTACCTCGACATCAGAACCCACACTACCAACCACTCTGCAACCTTTCAATTTAGCCAATTGCCCAGCGAAAACACCTACTCCTCCGGCTGCGGCGGATATGAAGACATTCTCCCCCGGCTTCGGGTCTCCGAGCACCACTATTCCCACCCACGCCGCAAAACCCGGAATCCCTGCATTGATCACAGCAAAGCCGTTAACCCTACATAGTATATTTCTTTCGTCTAACAATATACATTAAAGTCAGAATATTGTGAATATACGAATTGCAAAAAGTCGAGTGGTCGAATTTGGATTAGAGATTGGGGCTTCAGATCAGAATCTGGCGAAACTTAATCTGTCAAACATTCTCAAAGCTGTTCATGGGAAAACCCAGAGAACCATTTTCGACACCAAGCATGCTTTTCAAGATACTTAGTTCAACCATTGTGCGGAAGACCAATCACAAACGGATTGATCAAGCAATTTTCATTTCCTCACTGACAAAGAAGGACTCTATTGTTTGTCCCTACAAAGCCATCTGACAAACACATTTCAATGCTCAGTTTGGACAGTGGCTGACTAAAAGAAGTTACAAGAATGAAGAGAGAAAAAATCATTTGTAGACCTTACCAAGAGCGCTGAGATAATCAAGAACTGAGACCCCAGAATCAGGGTCAATCTTCCTGAGAAAAGAAGCAGGGGCAATGCAGTATTCAGCCACAGGAGCAAATGGGTGGATGACAATCTCTCCAAAACTCAAACCCGAGTGCCTGGACTCAATCACTTCACCTACCCCAAATGTGGTCACAGCCTGACACACAACAGAAAAGGCTAAAAAAGGTAACGATAAAAAGAAGCAAAGATTGCAAAAATAGAAAAAAAAAAGTTCAAAACGATTGAAGACCTGATTGAGTTGAAACTGGGAGAGAGAGAGACCATCTTGTACGGAGCTCATTTTGGCTCGGAGGTAAGGATCGACAGAGAGCCAATGGAGGCGCAGCATCACATGGTCGTTTGGCACATCTTTGGTGATTTTGAGGTTTGAGGTTCGGAGTTTCAGATGTTCAGATGTCGGGACACCTTCTCTCGCATACTGTGCTAGTATCCATTCCTTGCTCTCCACTTCCATCTCTCTCTCTCTCTGTGATTGTTTGGTTCAGGTAGTTTCTGAGGTGCTTTAGACAAAAGGTTGTTTTAAGTACCGTGGGAGGAAAGAGATGAGCTTTCTCCACCAATTGCCGGGCTAATCGTGAAGCGATAACATAAATACAAATATAAAAAGGAAAATCACTATCGAAAGCGCTCTCTTTTCATGTCTAGTGGGCGTTGGATTTAATCGGGGGGCATCAACTAGCAGTTTGAAAGGTACTATAGATCTTTTAATAGATATTTGGACAAGTGTACACATAATAAATCATTGAATCTCAAAGCCATTAGCTTTTCTCAACCACAGAAAACGATAACATGGCGGCAGCTAAAAAGGGTTGTAACACTTAGCGTTGTCAACGGGCCGTCGGGATCCTCACCGATACCCGATTCAATCCGGATATGAAGGATAAATGCATTTTTGTGACTTGATCCGAACCCGATCTGCATCAAACTCGACACAAAAAAAGGTTTTAGTTGGGTGGTGTCCTTTGCATAGTTGTCTTTGATTGTCTCGACCCAAATTCTGCCTGAGGTTAATACACGGTCCCATAACATTCCCCCATGTTCAATGCAACTCAGATGTAAATTATGTACCATCCTTTGGACTTGGATTAAATAATGTATGGCGAACATGGGACTATAATGCAAAAACATAGTGTGAAAAATTTGTCGTCTCTGAAGCTCCTGTCCTGTCCTTGTTTGGTTGAAATATCCTCGTATTTGCTTTATTGTTCGCTGATGCATTTCAATTAAATATTTCATGACTCGTTCCTTTTGTGTTGGCTGACCAACTATGACGATTGGCCAAATGTTTTTCTTCCATTGTTACACCTTCACAAAAGCAGGCTGCAGATGCCTACAAATAACACACACAGACAAGGAGCAAGTTCAACCCGGGAAATGTTTGATTATGGTCATCTTGAACAAATCATTCAGAGGCAGAAGTGGACAAAATGCCAACCTGGAGAAGGACTTGGCTCAAAATCAGAAGAAAAACAAGGGAAAAATGACATGCAATTTGTTTTGGTATATGGCATCATCCGAATGCACAACAGGAGGGAAAAGAAATGCCCTCGCGGAATTTTCAATTGTCATCTATACAAGTTCAGTTTTGAGTTTTGGGTCGGTTTTGATTTATGGTGCAAAACCGAATCGAATCATCAGAAGTTTTACTTACTGTCCGAGCAGAAATGAAACTCGATCAGAAAAGATTCGAGAACTTTTGTTCAAGTATGTTCGAATTGGTTCAAATTTCGATTCAGAGTGTTTTTTCTTTTATCACCATATAAGCGTAGTATTACTAGCACTACGCACAAGCATCATTGCATCAACATACAAGTGTAGAACAGTAGACTTTGTGTCACATTTAAAGCCACAAAAAATAGTTATGAAGTGTCATTGGTGACCCATCACAAAAAAATGGGAAGAAAGAATTATTATCCTGTTGAATCACTTTTTCATGTGAGCATCATGATGGACGCCGTTTTTAACTTTAGTAGGAAAAAAATGATGATACTCCGAGACAACCAGTTTGTCCTTTTCACATTTATGAAAATACAACTATATTGTTCTTTCACACAATTTCATGAATTTATTAACGAGTACCATTCTCAGAAATTTGTCGTAGGAATTTACAAACAAATGCCATTATTAGAGATTTGCTGCAGGTTTATATCCCGTGAGCATTGTTCCATGCAAGAACGAATTTAATAGGTGGTAAAATTCTAGGTTATTCTTATCTATTTTCGATGTTTTAGAGAGTTTTGACGGGCTCCCAGCGAGGCTCGTTAGGCGATGGCTCGGTCTATTCCCTAACCCTTTTTAGTGGACTTGGTATAGACCAATGTCAACCTCACACGAGACAGTTCGTGATTAGCCTATGTCATCCTGACATGTGGTAACCTTTTTAGGGAAAATTTGACCGGATGGACTGAATTAACATAAATGCAAAATGTTTAGGATTGATGTAACGACCCGGTCCGACGAGGGCGGGGAGTGGTTGCCGGGGCCGGTGGATTCTGGCCTGAGCAAGGAGCGGCTTCTGGCAGGTTTTTAGGATGGCAAGGGGGGGCATGTCTCTTGTCCCACATCGCCTAGGAGGGGAGTCCTGAGCTAGTTTATAAGGCTTAATGCGTTTTAAAGCCGTGAGGGTCAATGGGCCCAAAGCGGACAAGATTACATAGTGTAGACCCGGGGTGTTATAATTGAATCGGTAACAAAAAAGGTTTATGACTAAATTGACATAATTGCAATATGTTTATAACTATTTTAGTAATTTTGCCACCTTTTTATAGTTAGTTTCCTGTTGTCACATGGCATATTTCTATCAACCAATCATTTTGATCCTATCAATGTAAATACCCCATCAATTCACTCATTAAAAATCTTTTGACTTATAAACATTCGAATGTCGGCACTCCTATTGATCTCATTAGCGAACTACGCAGAAAACTTTCGAACAAGTGACTCGTCACTCCTCACTTGCCACTTGGCATTCGGGTCCACCAGAATTGCCATTCTCCTCTTACGCATTCTCTATTTCATCCTATCTATGTTGTTACTTATGTGGGACGCTAAACTAAGGGACCTCTGGAGCAAACCTCCTCAACAATTTGGCGACTCCATTGGAGAGGGAGTGATTGCGCAAAGGTGATGCCATCAATGAAGACGAGCGGTAACGTGAAGGAGAGAGTTCTCAAGCTAGCATTTACAAAGATACTCAAAATCAAGTGGAGTAAACGCAGAGAAACGTGAATCGATTACAACATAATTAGGATATTTTTCTTATTTTAAATCTATCAACACGGTATTGGCATACTAGAAAGGTTGTGCCTTGATCTCTATAAATGTATGATTTGGTTGAGCAAATTAATAGGTTTTCCAACACCATCAAAATTGGACATTTGTGGCATGAGATGTTATATCTTGAGATCTATCTATTCAATTTGGGAGAATTCTATATCTTTAAAATGATCTTGATAAATATGAACCGAATTATACCATTTGGACGAGTTTTCAAATGAGAGAGAAGTTAAAGTTAAATCCCTTTTTAATTTCCAATATTATTCAATAAAAAAGGACTATCTGTAAATAAATAGTTAGATATTCATATAAGAGAAAGGATGTCGCTTATGAACACTAGCTAGAATTTGCATCAAACTAGGGAGTTGGATCTAGAAAATATTCTTGGACCAAGACCAATGGACCAAGGCCCCTCCTAGCAAAAGAGGTCTTATCTGTCTCTGTCTCTAACTGTGTTTTGTATTTACGAGAAGGTCATCAATTACACTTTAGTTAGCAATAATATATTTATCAATAACATAAATATCTAGAGTGGGATTTGAATAAATTTTAAGTTTTCTACTTAAACTTTTTTTTTGGTAACTGTTTTGGTTCTAAGATATTATTTAAGTGAGATAGATGTAATGATATAGGCTACATTTGAATTCCTAAATGTAATTATTATAATGAATGATATGTATCTTTTAAGTGATATTTAATCAATCGATATAAGTTGTAGTTTTGAATAGATGATATCTTTTAATATGAGCATAATAATTTAATTTGAATGAATTTTCTTAAAAATTAAATGCCACATTTAAGTATGATTTAAAGATATCTTATTTATTTATTCAAGTTTAAACTCAAATATTTAAGTTGTACATAAAAAAAAATGTAAAAGTTGGATTACCATAATTAGAAACTCATGAATTTTGTATTTATCCATATTTTCAAAATATCAAAATTAAATTTATTTATTTATTCACTTCATTTTTTGGATGCAAAGAGTACGTGAAATACGAAGAGGGACATTCCAAATCTATCGTCTCACCTATCTTAATTGATCTAATGTTCATAATAAAGATGAAATTAATTGTATATACTCTATCTGCCTAGAAACATAGATTTTGCTCATAGATGCCCCATCTTATGGCTCTGGAGATCAGATGCTGTATGACATGGATTTGCATATGCAAACAAGACTTTCTGAATTCAAAATGCTTCATCACACAATAGAAGAGGAAGGTTGAGGAGGACAAAGTAGACTCGGAGATGCTTCTGAGGGAATACTGCTCGGGCAGAGTTTCATTGGCGCACTTGATGAGAATAAATAGTATGTAAAATGCGGAGAGGGACATTCCAAATTTACGGTCTCACCTATCTTAATTGATCTAATGTTCAGAATAAAGATGAAATTAATTGTATATACTCTATCTATATAGAAACATAGATTTGGCTCATAGATTCTCTATCTTATGGCTCAGGAGATCAGATGCTGTCCGACATGGATTTGCATCTGCAAACAAGACTTTCTGAATTCAAAATGCTTCATCACACAACAGAAGAGGAAGGTTGAGGAGTAGAAAGTAGACTTTGAGATACTTCCGAGGGAATACTACTCAGGCAGAGTTTCATTGGCATACTTGATGAGAACAAAGAGTATTAAAATGCGAAGAGGGACATTCCAATTCTATGGTCTCACTTATCTTAATTGATCTAATGTTCATAATAAAGATGAAATTAATTGTCTATACTCTATCTGCCTAGAAACATGCATAAAAGTTCGAAAAGTTTACTTTAAACTATCAAATATCGGAGAAGCCAGAGTAGGGAGGTGCCGGAGGTACTGGAGCTACCAGAGTCTTACCTATTCGAACACATCATAAAATTATTTATTGTACATGAAGGAAAACAAAGGACCATAAATAGATAATCGTACCCCAATCATGTTTGGAAGCAACATAAGTCATCACAATGACCACCACAACCAAATCTATCAAAAGAATGATGAGTTGCAGTAAGTACTTCAGGTAGAAATTCGATACGCTCCCATCAATGTCACTTAATGCCGCAATAGCCATCGTTCTTTCAGATAAAGTTTCTAGGCCCGTACTCCCTTATTATGAAGGACGACCAACCTCACCCGTTTCAGCCTTAGCCTTAGCTTTACCCCTATCATCAACCTTCCTCTCATTAGGAATGTCGACGACCACACTGTCGGGTAGAGTTTTATTGGCACACTTAATGAGAACAAAGAGTATGTAAAATGCAAAGAAGGACATTCCAAATCTGTG